AAATAGCCTCTTTGCAATATATAGAAAGATTGGCTAAATATGACCTATATGAAACAAGTCAGTTATTTTTCTGTAAGAAGTGTAAGAAATGCATTGCAGCACTGATTGCAAATACATGACAAAATGTATTAAAAAAAAAGTGCCTTGTTAAGTCACATCCAGTAGCAGCTGGTTAGTTGACTTCAGTGCTCCACCTTGAATATAAACATGGAGCATTTCACTCAGGAGGCGATAAGCCACATTTTGCACCAGCAGCAGGTGTTGAATAGCAGACTGGTCCAAACTCAAATCCAAAGAATTACAATAGTCTGGACATTATGAATGCATGTATAACCCTCTCTAAATTACTTCAGATATCAGTCTTAGCTGACAGACGCTCCATTAAACAATGCAAGAGATCTGCTTGTCAATTTTTGACAAAGCCTAAGTGACCTCATCCATCTGCAGAGGGGCTTTGGGGTTATATTGATGGCGATCGCCATGCTGGAAATGCTGTTCTACCTAACTTTCAGCCAACCTAACAACCAACTAAGAGCTGGAGCTAAGGCCCCATATGGTGTGCGGATCGAGACATGAGCTAATCAGACCCTTTTAGTTTTTTGAACCAGGCTGTAAACATGTTCATTTTGCTGTAAAACTGTATTTTAGAAAGGGGTGTGAATGTGACTTCCCTTGCTTCTGCAGTCAGCCTCAAACAGAAACTCTTTGAACTGCAGGATTTTGCACTTCTTTATCTGCATCATTTGTCAACACCGGAGATTGCCGCCTGGTAAATACCTAAACATCTTTTTTGCTTTTTGGCCATTCTGTTTAAGTCTGTGCAGACACAAAAACTATCGGGGAGATTTAATGTTAACCTTAATTCTGAATGCCACTCTCACTTGTTTATTCCTCAGGAGTCAACAACACACCATTAAAGTCAATCAGTGCAGAGAGAATAAAAGACTTCAGCATCCTGTTGACTGGCGCAGGCAACAATCAGAGCACATGTCTGTCAATGCACCGCTCTCTGCTCCATCTGCTCCGTCCAAACATTCTGCCCTGCCAAACAAAGACATGTCAGCCAGTAACTAAGCAAGCAGGAACACTAAAATAACAAACAGGGCATTATGACAAGTTCTATTTTGCAAAAATACGTTTGGATTGGCTTTCTTTATTATACATGGAAAAGTTTCACTCAGGTTTTGTACAAAAAAAAGGCTCTAGGGCAAAAAATCGATTTAAGCCTTACTCATTCTGACTCATGGAAATCCACCTTTTTAAGTGTTTCGATTCATCTTGGGCTGTAAACCTTGTGTATGTGCAGCCCATTCTCAGATAGAGGTGAAAAGATGTGTGCAGAGGCAAATACAGATGGAACACAGCATGAGTCAGGTCTATATATGGTTCACCTGACCCTTTTAAATATTTGATTTCAGCACATATTATTCCTGTAAAACAGTCTACTGACAGTGCGCTTTGCGTTTGCCTTTAAAAGGGCCCTCGGTTACCTGACCCAGTGTTAAGAGACTCAGGGCAGGGTCGCTCCGTCCCCCACAGCGCCGGGGTAATGGAGATTCCAGAGCTCAACACCACCACCACCCACTTCCCCTTTCTCTGCAGAGTTCATTTTTGTCCTGCAAATCACTCTGTGCAGTGTATCCCACAGATAACCTGCAGACTGAGGCCCACGGGAAGGTCACTCCTCTTCAAGTCTGTGAAACAGAGCACTAGAGGGAGAGTATTTCCTTGTTTTTACAGAGGTATGTTTCAGTGCATTTGGCAAACAGGAATCTGTGAAGCTGTGTATTGATGCTTTGACCGTGTATTCATATCTCCTGTTTATCATAAACTACAGAGGATCTACTTCAAGTATACTTCAGTATCTGCAGGAAATAAGAATGTGCAGCTGAGCTAGTGCCAGAAGTTAATTGCAACATGCTGCACGTATGAGAGCAGTTCACAGACAGGAAGATATTTCCAAAGCTTTTTCATCTCCAGTCCTTCAATGATGGGAAAAAAAATGCTCCCCCAAATATTCTATTTATACTTTCAGTACACATTACCCTCTGAATATTGTTAGTCTGGAAGTAATTTACATTCATTTATGCACCGAAAGTTTTGAGCCAGCGACACACTGACTGAATAAAGAACACTCCAGAAATTAAATATCTCCATTGTGTTTAACTGTACTTTATTTTCCCCTCACATTAAATTTTCCATTCAAGGACAAAACAAAATTCATCACTCAATACTTCAGTGGAGTTTTGACACCACAGAACGCTGCATTTTAAAGAGTCCCATGTTTCTAAAAGCTCATGTTTTACCTTTTGATACACAAGAACAAAAAACAGGATGTGGAGATCATTTGAATGATAAACATTGTAGATGCAGCCAAACAGGATAATGGTGACCTATGTGTGAACTGCTCAGCTAATGGAAGGAGTGTTGTATGTCTTTTAGCTTATGTAATGTGGGGCCTGCAATCCTCGGCGTATTATGCGCTCCATCCTGCCGCTTATGTGTTAATAGCTAGTTAATTCTCTAATCAGAGGAGGCTCACTCTGCATGACATTACAGTGAGGTGTGAATATCAAGAGACTCCCGAGTATGCTTTGACCTAAGTCCCTTTGGAGACCTACTCTGGAATTGTTGGAGCATATGAGATTTGTAAATTATTAACGCAGGAAGAAACACCACATGCAAAATCTGAAAAGAAATTGGAACAACTCTGAGAAGTCCAACCTTAAAAAAACCTTAATTGTCACCTTTACATGTGGCTGACTCTGTTAGTCTTGAGTTAAGCACATATTTATGAAAAATCTCATTTCAGTTTGGTTACTTTTAATGTGTTTAAAGATGTCTTGAGTTGACACAGTTTCTCATAAGCACTGCCATTTGTAGGATAAGCATTAAAGAGAGTTGAGCAATTTTTGTGTGTTCACAAATTAAGTCATATTTTAAGTGAACCCCAGGAACATGCTTAATTTTTTCAGGAAGCTCAAGAAATAAATAATTAGGTCTTTTTCACAAAAGGATTGCATGACTTTTGCAGCTGCTGAACCTGTGCAAATCAAAATTCACCTTTTTAAGTGCAAGTGTTACATGCTCCCCAAACTGTGCTGCAGAGCAAGAAGCATCTCGTTGCTCTGTTGCTGTTTTTAGTATCTTTTAATGAGCCATATTGGAGCCATATTGCAGTCATATGGGGGTAAAATTGGAAATCAGGAATTTATGGAAATCAGCATTTTTTTCAAAACATTCCTAATTCATAAATGATGCGGCACTAACAGCCATCTGCAGTTTGGGTGAAAAAAGTCTGCTGAGAGTTGGTGCTAACTGCACCGCAGTACTTAAAAGAGATGTCATGTGCCAACTTTCATAATCATAACAGCAATTCCACCTCTGGATGCATTTACAATAAATTATCTTTAAATACAGTCTGAAAAAACTGCTTAGACATTTTTAATGTTCATATAATCAGAGGTTAAATCAGTCCGTGGCAGGCGCTGGCTGGTTCGGCATATATGGGTAGACGTTAGCCAAATGTGTGGACACGGTCTGGTGCCATTATACTAGGCAGGGCAACAGTGGCCTTTACTTGCTCCATCAAGTGAGGAATTTTTTTGTTTTAAGAGTAAAACTCAAATTTTTTGGGACTGGCTTCACAATAAATTGGGAAAAAAAAGTATTCCCTCCCTCCCCAGCTCATCCTCCATCCTCCATCCTCCATCAGCATGAGTGCAGCTCCACATTCAGTCTCACAACACTGAATAACCTTATGGGCCAAGACCCCCCGAAAATTTATGCACACTTTTTGGGATACATATACTTTTTGGTACAATACATTTTTCTGCATCCGCCCCACCCCCACCCCACCCCCCGATGGAATACAGACTAGCTTTCAGCTCAACAGCTCCCGGTGTTTTACTAAGGATCCATTTATTCATTGTTGAATTTGGCAAACAACTTTGCCAAAAACTCTGAAAGGTCATTCTCTTGTTTTACTTTAGTTCCAAACTTTGAATGCCTAAGGCAATAAAAAAAGACTTTTGAGGTCAGACTTCTGAGGTCAATGTTGTTTTTTCTATTGATCATGGCTATGATACAGCTTGTGAACTTGTTCAACAGAACTTTTTAATGTGCCAGAAATCATTTATTCCAGCTGCTCAAAAGATTTCAAGTGATTATCTTCCAGAACATCTATAACATGATCTCACCTTCCTCAAGCTCCAGCTGTTATAGAGAAGGCGTGATATTGATCTAAAAATCAAGCCCAACTTATTCACTTGTTTTTTTCAATTTAAGGTTAAAAATGTTTTTTTTTTAATGTATTAATGTGCTTAGTTTCTTTCTTGGTTCTTATACTGTATGTACAATATGTTTGGCTCAAATCTTTTGAACATTATTAAGTCATTAGTGGCAGCTAACCCCTAAGTGGCACAAGAAACATGATGTCAAATCCATTTGTGAAGCCCATGCCAAGTCTTTCTTCCATAAATCATCACAAGTGGGACACCAGTGAGTCTTGAGCCAGATGCTCCATGGTGACCCCCACACATGAAGCCTGAGCCCCCCCCCCGTCCCCCCGTACTGTTTCAAAGCCTTGACTGCGTCTGATGGCTCTTCGCGGAGATCACACTGGGATTCTACAAATCTCACCCATGCGTTGTCAAGTCTCTCTTAGTGTTTTACAGCCGAGCTGAGCCTGATCCTGTTATGCGCATGCAAAATCCAAGTTTGTTCACTCCACCATGGCAATCCCCCCACCCACTATGATCTTGTTATACTACGCTGTGTATCATCTGTGCGACTTCAGACACAACTGCACTTAACTCCTGGGAGCAGCGCCGTCACGGCCAACTCTATTTTTATATGTAAAAAAAAGAAATGGGTACAGTAGATTGAAAATAAAAGCAGTTCCTACAAGCATGTTCTAACACGTCCTTTCACTGACCCAGGGCCCTGAACACTCAGAATGTGAGTCCTCACATTGTTTCTACCTCATCTCTCATGTGTAGCTGAAAGCCGGCCCACTCCCCTGGCAGCAGTTCTTATCTGCAATCAGAGGCGATCTGTTTATCACAGCACCGACCACCACTTCACCCCAGGCTCCTGACAGCTTCTCATTAGGACCTTTATACGGGCTGCTGGGAGGGGTCCAAACTGCTGATCAGGTCACGGCGCTCTAACATGATGAGTGATTACATTCAGGCATCTAGCGAGCCAAATTTTTATTCCAAACAACACTCCAAACACTCTTTGAACTCCAAATTTTACGATGCCCTCCAAAAGGGGGGGGGAGGGGGGCGCTTTAACTAAAGGAAAGGATGTCTTTAAAAGTGAGAAGTGGTAAAGAAACGGAGCCTTCTGCCATTTGTTGCTGCAGGGTCATGCTCCCTTAAAAAGGAGTGAATGTATGAAAATGACCGAGGATGAATTATTTCTTCACCTTCATGTGAATTCAAAGACATTCTTACTTTAAAGACATGCATCTTTATCCTTCAGGCTACAGGGATCAAACAGGTCATGAAAACAGACAGATTTGGCACATAGCTTATGTCCCCGTGTGAGGCATGGGGTGCAATGTGGACGAGACAGACAGACACACACACACACACACACACACACACACACACACACACACACACACACACACAGAGACAAACAGACAGACAGACAGACAGACACACAGACACACACACACACACACAGAGACAGACAGACAGACAGACACACACACACACACACACACACACACACACACACACACACACACAGACAAACAGACAGACAAACAGACACACACACACACACACACACACACACACACACACAGACAAACAGACACACACACACACACACAGACAGACAGACAGACAGACACACACACACACACACACACACACACACACACACACACACAGACAAACAGACACACACACAGACACACAGACAGACAGACAGACAAACAGACAGACACACACACACACACAGACAAACAGACAGACAGACAGACAGACAGACACACACACACACACACACAGACAAACAGACACACACACAGACACACAGACACACACACACACAGACAAACAGAGAGACAGACAGACAGACAGACAGACAGACAGACAGAAGCCTGGGGAATGATAAAGGTAAGGCTCTCGTTGTTTGAAGGTTACATCCTTCCTCTTTGGAGGTACATGCTAGTTCCTTCAAAACACAGCAGACAACAACAGCCAAAGTTTACCAAGGGGGCTGACAACATGGCTCAACAAGGAAATATAAAAGAGAGCAGCAGCAGAATTACTCAAGTCTTACAGACTTTAGACCACATCAGTGTGGGCTGATGTTAAAACATGATCACAGCAGCAGACTATTGGTGCTTTAGGGATTTAAAGAAATAAAAAGTGTGGATTTTTGAGCATAAAAAGTATAGCTGTATACTCTCCTCAGGGGTGAAGGAATTTCAAGATGGAAAATGTGCTTAATAACTTTGTTGCTGCAACTTAAGTTCCATATCTTATGTCTGTGCATGATCAATCAATTGATCAATCAATCAATCACTCATCATTTGCATAGCGCTAATTCATAAAAAGTGTTATCTTGAGACGCTTTACAAAAAAAAGAGCATATGGGATAATTTACAGGATGGATTACTAATTTGTATTTCTCGCGTTCCTGTTCAGACTCAATGATTATTTCTGTTGGTGCTGATGTTGCAGCGGTGTTTTGGAGTGATGCAGAACAACAAATATGAGAAAATGATGTAATATGAGAAAAAAGGACTGATGTCAACTACAAAGGACTTTATAAAACGTGTGTTAAAAAAAGTGTTAATTAAGATCATGTTTTTTTTTCATCGCTTAGACTCAATCTAACCTGAAATAACAACAATTCTCAAACGTTTTTTTCTCTGAGTCTCAGTAGTCCACCTACCTGTTGTGGGCCGGCTCAGCCAGGAGTCGGGGAAACTTTTTCGTCCCTCCCCCTCCGCCTGCCTGCCTCCCTCCCTGCCTGCCTGCCTGGTCCCAGCAGATCCTCGACAGTCTAAAAGTTCTCACTTGCGGCGTTTGGAGGACCTGTTGCCAGCTGCTCTCAATAACACGAGATAAATAACCAACCCGGTGTCCATAAACTGCTTCAGTCGTTAAACCGTCCAAAGTTTCCGCAGCTTCTCATCGACTTTCTGTTCGCCTGCTGCACTGTCATCCACTGCTGATGTTGTGGTAAGAATAACCATGTCGCTCATACGGATAACTTTGGCTTTCATTGGTATATTCAACTTTTGTGCAATATTGCAATCAGTGGTTAAGCAGAGGATTCGTTAGTCATTTATCAGGCAGAGGAGGCGACAGGTTGTAACAGTGTTTTTTTTTACTCAAAACTGATTGAAGAAGTCTCAATTGGTGTTATTTTTTTAATCTAGTCTAATCTTAAATGTTGCACTAAGAATAAAGATTGCATATTGCAATTCGTTGAGCTAAATCCAGGTTGCAATAACAGCATGAAAAGGTCAATGACTTTGGCTGTTTAAGTGAAAAACTCTTGTCAGTGCAGATTTCTTTAACACACAAAAAGTTGTATTATTCTAATAGTGTTAGACTATAGACACACATCTTGATCTGCAATGCAGTGCTGCAAAAAAATCTGAATCATTTTCAAGATATAGTTTTGTTACAGATGTTTCTAATTAAAAATGTGAAGATTGAAAGAATCCCCTCATTGTGGTCATGTTGGCAGAGCAGCATGACATCAGGGAATGTTTAAGGATCAGCTGAGTGTGTGTTTGTGTGTATTTGCATGTGTGTTCAGGGAAACACAGAGAACAAGGAGGAATTCCCCATCCCTCGCTGGACTCTGCATGGGAAACACCTTTAGTAGCCTTTTCTTAGTTTTTCTTTTACAGCCTTGCCAACTTCTAAGACGTGTGGTACAGTGACGGAGCATGTCACTTCCACTGACAGCTCTGCATTAATCATCACTTCTCAGGCCAGAAATGAGCTCAGTTCAGTGACAGTAGGGCTTTGAGTGTGGGCTTGGGCTGTTTTCCCTCCCTATGGGAAACTGTTGTAGGTAAAAACTGTAGCCCTCTTTTCTTTCCTTTGCCATATGCATTGTATTTTGTGGTTCAAACTGTTTGACATTGACTCTGTAAAATATTAAAACCAGCCTTAGGTTTAAAATCATCTGAGAAGCCAGAGGAAAAACAAAACAAAAAAAACCTCATGACAGAGCTAGTCGGCTGTTTTATGACTAAACACAATTATTTAGCATTTCCCTTTTTTGCCATTCGAAAAAAAGTTCAGGTTGAGGACCTAAGATGTGGCGAGTGTGTGAACTATATCCAAACCGTTGAAGTCATCCTCTGGCCCAGGTAGTTGATAACTCAGATCTGAGATGATGAAATGATGGTTAGGTCTTTATTCAGAGCAGATTTACAGACTTCTGACAGCACCATTTGTGACAAATCAGTGTTGAATTCAGCACTTCATAGATACTTCATGAACATCAGGCCAGGAATAGAGCAGGGGCAGTTTGATGTTGGGTGTGTGTGTGCTTACGTTCAAAGGTGACCTACAGAAGTCTTTGCCATGGGAAAATATGCTTTGTGTCTTTGATGATGTAATCGATGTGTCCACAAACATTTTGGCAAAGAGACAAACGTGCATCTTTTAGTGTTGTTCTCAAATCCACAGCAGAACAGTGTGTAGCTGAGGGAATTTGTGTTCAATTTTAGGCATTAATTCGATGAACATCCCGATTGATGATTTATGCAGCTCACTGAAATGAAAACAAACAAAACAAAATCAACCAATGATCTGGCTCCAGGATCCAGCAGTGTTTAAAACGAACCTTTGTAAGGGGAAGAACGAACCTTTGCGACCGGGAAAACTTCACGCTTTGTGTGAAACATGCTAACTAATTAGCCACTCAGGAAGATTTCAGGGGCAGGCTGTACTGAGATTTTCCAGAAAAGTGCATGTGTGAAACAGCTTGTGTCTCAAACAGCAACTCTTATTTAATATCGTTTAGAAGTCAAAAATATAATTCTCACTTTGGTCTCTTCTTAACCGCTTAGGGGAATGTTCTGTCCTTTAATTGAATCAATCTTTAAATAAAACAAACTGCTTAAGTTATTTAAATACTTAATGTCCAGCAGAAAGTCTTCAGGGTTGATTGCAGATTTTTTACGTCATTTTTTTTCTTCCATGTAGACAATCAGGAAAGTGGGGGGGGGGGGAAACGTCTGGTGCAGATTCCAGATTTCACAATGACAGCCTGTTTAGTGATTAAAAATCTGCAGTGCAGCTGGTGTTAATGACGTGCATGTAGTCTTTATGTCAGGACAAATAAGAGGCTGTAAAAAGTGCACTCTCGTGAGCTCGACTGTAAAGCCAGATGTGTTTCTACTTTCATTCTGAGAAGTAAGCCCCCATCTGCCCGCCTGTCTCCCTTTCTCCTATTTCTTGCAGAGTAATGGTCTTTCACGAGAGCAGAATGCGCCAGATTCCTTGAAGACAAACTAAAGGCCTTGGATGATACCTGATCTTTATTGAATCTCGAGACGTACACCTGGGGCCATGGCTTTTATTGTAAGGGCAGAAGGAACTCTAGTAAGGATTACATTTCTCTTTCTTTACCTGAGTGTGGGCTCCTGCCAGCGTGACTGCACAGGCGTGGACTGTCCTCAGCTGGAGAACTGCATCGAGGAAGGGCTGGAGAGTGGCGCCTGTTGCGCTTCGTGCCTACAGAAGGGGTGCACATGTGAGGGGTACCAGTACTACGATTGCGTCAACGCTGGATTCAAGAACGGCAAGGTGCCAGACGGGGACTCTTACTTCGTCGACTACGGCAGCACGGAGTGTTCCTGCCCTGCCGGAGGAGGACGGATCAGCTGCAACTTCATCAGCTGTCCCGACCTGCCACCGAACTGCATCGAGGTTTCAGAGCCCATGGACAGCTGCATGCAGTGCGAACGCGTCGGATGCGTCCAGGATGGCCAGAAATACGACGCGGGACACTCGTTCCACATTGACGCGTGCCAGGTCTGCCACTGCCCCACCGAAGGGGGGAATCTTATGTGCTACCCTGTGCCGGACTGTGACCCACAAAAGGTCAAAAACACGATGTTGGCTGCATCCAGAGAGGGGGCCACACCGGACAGGCACAACAGTTACTCCCTAAATTTAGAGCCACAAAAGCACATGGATAAAATCTCCACTCCTCATCAGCTTCCTATGAACGCGACTCTTCCTCTTTTTAAAGAGCTGCCTCTGTACAAAGAGGATCCAGAAGATTATGATTACGGTCCTATAGAATCTCCAGAGAACTACCATCAATCTCTGGTCTTCTCCACCCAGCCCCCCTCCTCCAACAAAGTCCCCTCTGTGTCCCGGGGCTCTGACAGACCTGACAGAACGGCGGCTCTTCAGGGCTTTGACAGACAGAACAAGCTGGAGCTGAGAGAGAGATACGGAGTTCACCATCCCGAGGACAGAGGGGAAGTGACAGAAAGTCCCCCGAGAGGAGAGCCGAGTACTGTCAGACCTCATATGCACACGGGCGCTACCACTTCATGGCAGCCATCACAGGGTCTAGACAGCGCGCAGAGTGAAACATTCAGTGATCTTAGTGCACAGACGGATGTGGAGAATCCACTGCACGGACTAAAAAGTTCAGACAGAATCATGTATCGACCACACCCAGATTTAAGAAGTGAAATGCACCCAGAGGATCTACATAGGAGTTCAGAGAGAGCAGTTCAACAGAGAGTCACTGAGACATATAACCTGAAGACATCTGATGGTGTGACGGCCGATGGTTCAAAGAATCAGACCAATGTAAGTCAAACCAATCAGCAGAGACAATCAGATAGAGAGCAAGAGAGTCTGAGCCACCACCAAGCAAGTTCAAATGGTCAGAAAGAATCACTGATGACAGTCACATCAGACATAGAGGAACGGGTGGAGGAAGAACAGATGGAAGAGGAGGAGGAGGAGGAGGAAGAAGTAGTAACATTTCATAGTGTCACTGGGCCTGAAGGAAGAGATGTGGCCTCCGAGCTTGAGCCAACGCAGCGGGGGGGAATCAACGAGGAGCCAGAGAGCAGTGATCCAACCAGCAGCTACCAAAAGACAACACCTGAGCCCAGCACCAGCTCCCCCGGGAGGACAGAGTACCTGACAACTCCTGTGGTCCGATTCATTACCACCACCACCGCCGCCGCCACCCAGAGACCGCAAAGGTTCAAGCTGGACGAGCACGAACCCAGCGGAAAGTCAGGTCAGAGGATGTTTAACCTTCACAGTGAAGACGAGGAAAAGGTGACGGGGGAAGATGAAGAGAGAAAAGATCGCCCAGTGGTGCTCATCGAACCTGATGGGGGTGAGTTAAAACGTAACTACACAGCACAGACAAGTGCACTTAAGAAATAATGCGTCATAGCTTTGGAAGATAGACGATTGTGATTTCTATTTTAGAATGTCAGACCTTACGTTTTAAGAGTTACCAACATGACGTGACTATACATAAGTTGTCACATTGTAAAACTGTATAAAAAGGTTGGAGTAAGGCTGGAAATGTTGGGGGAAAAGCACTAAGTGTGATATTTTTTAAATGTTTTGCTGAGTTGGATTAGAGTTTTACATTTGGGCAGTGAAAACAAGCTATTGCAATCGATTGATGCTTTATGGAAACATAGCTATAAGTTAGCATATAGCTGCCTATTTGCACATCCAGCAGACGTAAGCTGCTTTTGTAGTCGTGCTTTTGGCCTCCATCTGCATGTGAGTTCAGAACCTACCGACCTTCTCGTGTTCTTTGGTCTCTCCCAACATCTTGGGAAAAAATACCTGCTAAATGCTTCACTATGCACACCAGATATCCGCTAACTTTGTGTCTATGCTGTTTGGTGCTGGGCAGGTTGTGTACAGAGTGAGAAATTGTTTTTGGGGTTTAAAATCAGCAGCCTTGTTCCGCTGGATAAGTCGATGACAGTGGTGAGAGTAAACCAAAACAGTAATTTGTGGGCTTAAAAACCCCCACATAATGAATGCTCAAAGCCAAAGGGTAAACATATGAATATTGCTGTGTGGAACTGCAGAGGTATGATGAAATCAAGAGAATGCACCTCTTTCAAATCTTGAATGGACGTTCTTTTAAATGCAATGAAAAGACTCTTGACCAGCGTTGACTTGGTTGTTTAGTGGCAGAAAATAAAAGCCTCAGACTCCATCGCCTCGCTTCACCTCGTCTATTGTCCGAGTGTCTCTCACACCTGTCTGAGTCTAAGATTCAGTGAAAGTGGGCCCTGTTGGTATTGTGTGCCTGTGACATAGACTGGCAGGTTTTTTAATGAGAATTCAGTTTTTCTTGTGTGTGTGAACATGAACCGCAACAAAAGTGAAGTGCATGCTTTTACATGGGTCGTTCAGTTAGAAGTCTTCAGATTCAGCTCAGATTTGTTGCTCTGTTTTATGTTCGCTGCACTGAGTGAACCAAGCACCATTACCATACGTCCTTTACTATTTAGCAAGTTAGCATTAATGAGCATGGCTAAAGCTAACTGAAGTTCGCAGAAACTCCCAACTACAGTTTCTATGACAGAAGCTGGGAGTGATGATGTTTTACTGTGTTGAAGTAAATGTTCGGTCTCTTTGTTGATCGTTCCGACAGTTTCAGAATCATTGTTGTTTGAACAGTGCAGTGCTAACAACGTAGAAAGCTTTTTTGTGACTATGGCCTAAAGAAACGATAGGCTACTGAACAACAAAGGGAATCCAATATTCACAATTATTTTTGATGGATTTTGAGATGACAATGGTTGAAAAAGCAGAGTTGGTAATTTTCTCCATATACACTTTTTAAGATTTTGGTGGAAGTTGTCTCCAGGACCTGACAGAAATGAATAATTCATGTGCTCTGACAAAGGAACCAAGAAAATCCGTCATCTGTAGCAGTTTAATCATCCCATCACTCCTCAAATTTCTCCAGCGATGAGGTCGGAGAGACAGGACAGTGGATAGAGTTGGAAAATTGTGGCGAGAGAGAGAGGGAGGGAAAGTAGCCACAGGTTGGATTCCAACCCTGGCTGCCTGCTTTGAGGACTACCTGTACATGGGACACGCAAACTGGGGCTTTGCTCAAAAAATCGATATGGCAACATATCGTCATGTGCTCCTTGCAAATACATGTATCCGTGCAGATGTTACAAAATTTCTGCAAAACTGTGTTCACAGGTTCACAACAACACCATAGCTCATAGCTCTGGGATTAAAATGTTTTAATTTATTTAGGATCTTCGAGAATCTGAATTGAGGTGTTTTAAGTTGTAGGATCCTTAAAATGCCTCTGTTGTTACTCTCAACAATAAATAACAGATGTTGTAGTGAATTCTGTGTAGGACATGTTCCTGATCCAAAATCATATCGTATCGTGTCGTATCGTTTTGTATCGTATCGTATCGTATCGTATCGTGTCGTATCGTATCGTATCGTATCGTGTCGTATCGTATCGTATCGTGGGGTTGTAAGGAATGCGCAGCCCTGGAGCAAACTAACCACTAGCACAACCACAATAATCGTTAATCTTGATTATCTTGTTTTCATTGTCTTCGGAAGCCAAAATCATGATAATGAAGTTAAAAACTTGATACATTTCCCATCCCTTACTTTGTCTGTCTGTGGAATGCACAGTAGGTTTTGATTTTAAAAAAAATATATTGATTACTGTTGCAGCACTCTTCAATTATCCATTTTATAATTTCTGAAAATGACACAAAGCTGTAAATCTTCCCCCCTTCCACAAATCCTTGTTATATTTCTTGCAGTGAAGTGTACCCCATTTTTATATCCAGCATAAGTTTTTGACTTTACAACATTGTCCTCTTGGAACAAAGCTCCCTTTCTCCGTTGTGTTCTAAATAACAAGCCGAGCCATATGTCATGAGCAAGTGGAAGGAGTGGAGACACTAGCCGGTCCCCAGGCATCCGAACAGGAATATAAATAGTGAGCACAGGGTCTGTCTGGAGCAGGGAGTCAAACACTTGTCCCGTGGTGAAGATCCTCTCACAGCAGTCTCATTCCAGTCTGCACCATCGCTCAGCCAACACAGCGGGCCTCACTGCGTTTTTACTGCACGTTGCCTCAGCTCTCCCACAGGAGACAGACATGGCTTAAGAATCTGGACTGGTTATATATTATCCCGGGCCTCCGACCTTCAGATGCTTTTATTTCCAGGATTTTGTCTTCAAACTGTGTGTGAAACTGTGTTTTCATACAAATTTAATATCCAGGATGTTTGAAGTTTTTGTGCTGTTTATTTACTGTGTCATTCAGAAGGAGCCAACACTCTTTGCACAGAATACACAGATATTCTTTTTTACTACTTGACTTCGACCTAAAAGATAAACACATCTGTTTCTGTACTTTCCTTCACGATAGAAAATGTAAATCTCTCATGAAGCAGCTTCACATTGAATCACACAGAGTGTTCTATAAACTGCTGGTAGAGTATAGCAAGTCATATACTTTCTTCCAAACATCAATGTCTACTATTCAAACATTTATTACTTTAACATTTGCAGGTCATTGCACTTCATGTGGGGATAGCGCTGTTATTCGATCTGCTTCTGGGGCATATGAGATTGCTTTAAAAAGGTGTGTGCAGCACAAGGTACCACCAGATCCAGATGTTGGAGCCCTGGAGGAATTATTTCGACTAAGGGCGCACGAGCACTAGGTAATCTGTATCGGGCTGAAGCACGTTTGACCCCAAAGTCCAGTTGGTTTGACTAATAATAATAATAATAAAACATTTTATTTATAAGCGCCTTTCAAGACACACAAGGACACCGTACAACAATCAACATTTTAAAAACAGCGATGGATAAAAAAAAAAAAACAGCATACAATAAAGAAATGAAATGTAGGACAGTGGAATTGCAGTTTAAAGTGTCAGAGTGAGCGATCTTGAACAGATGGGTTTTGAGTCTGGATTTGAAGATGGGGAGAGAGTCAATATTGCGAATGTCCGGTGGCAGAGAGTTCCAGAGCTGGGGAGCAGAGCAGAGCAGCTGAAAGCTCTGCCCCCCCATGGTGCTGAGGCGGGCAAAGGGCACGGTGAGGTGGATGGAGGTGGATGGAGGAGGAGGATCTGAGGGAGCGGGCTGGAGTGGCGATGTGAAGGAGACGGTTGATGTTTCGTAAGTGGAAGTATGCAGACCGGGTAATGTTATTGATGTGGGATTTGAATGATAGTGAGCTGTCGAGGATGACACCCAGACTCTTAACCTGAGGGGAAGGGGAAACTGAGGAGCTGTCAATAGTGAGGGAGAAACTGCCAACTTTGGATAATATGGATTTAGTGCCGACGAGAAGGATCTCGGTTTTATCACTGTTTAATTTAAGGAAGTTGTGCCTGAAAGACTTGTGTGAGTGCTCCATATACAGGGCACAGCTTCTTGGGCCTGGCATGTTTGAGGTGGGCTTCGGCATGGTTTACGATTGCTCATGCACAGGAATGCAACATGATCATGACGCCTTGCGTTTTTGAGAAATCCCGGATCGACGAGGGAAATATCTGACTGAAACAACTCATTAGTGCCACAAAGTCGGTAAAGTTGCACACGTGTTCTCTGTCGTTCTCCATTGTTAGACTAGAGATAATTCACTGAGCCGCTATCAGTCTATTTAACAGCTACCAGAATTGTTAAGGATGTTTTCTTTATGTTAACTCACTGCACGAGTTGACGTTGTGAGTCAATGAAGTCACTTTAAATATCAAAATGATAACTGAGCATCGTGTTTGTTTTTATCGTCTCTTGCATGACCCCTTTAGTGATGATCGGATCTCTCGGCTCAAAAAAGTCTATACGAATTTCAACAAGGTTTTTGATCATCGTCCCCTCGCTTATAATACAATCAATTCACAGTCGGACAGAATGCTACAGTGAAAGTTACAGTGAAGCCGCCGCTCCCTGGAGACAGAGTGATGGGCTCTACACGGCTGAAAGAGAACGCTGGTAACTGGTCACCATTAAAGAAATCCTCTCAGCGAGCCGAGCAGAGCCTATGCTAGCTATACAGGACATCAAACTGGACAATGTCCTGCCTCAGAAAGAGTGAAAGTAGCTTTGTATGCAAAACAGTGAAGTGAGATTATTTGCACTTATTAAAGCATGCTTAAAAAAACAGCATTAGGATGATAAAATCATCAAGTTCTTCATCCGTTAGGAGGCGGCTCTTAATTGTTGAAACTTTTGATGAGACAATATAATAACTGAGTCACTGTGTGCCCCTTTAGATCTATTCTCAGGCCATTTGCACATCAATTTATGGTAAACATAAGGGAGTGAGGGCAATAAACTGGCTGCTAGATCACAACT